GTACACGGCAACCGGACTTACATTTACATTTAAAATGGGCCAATTTTTAATTGTCACATATTCTGCCTATATAGAATACATATTGAGATATTTTATTAGTAGGACCAATTAGGAACATAAATAGCTACTTTTAATCTAACTATCCATGGAATGGTGTACTTCTACTACATGGTTATATTATATCACATACCGGTACTGGAATCGTACTATTACAGGCCTACCGAATCTCCCAATTTCGTAATAGGTCTATACAACGACCTACAACAATATTATTTAGTTTAACGAAAGTGAAAACCATTTTATCAGTTTAATTCTTTTGCGTCTCTTGCATGAAGATCAGTAATTGGCCTATCATATATACATACCACAACAAACGGTACGCTATGGAAGTTATTAGCTCGCCATGTTGCTTCATAAATATTTATAACCTATTTAATCATGATTCTGGAATATAATTTACATAAGTACTGCTCATTGTTACACTCTCAAATATACTAGCTTATATAATACTTTTTGTCGATCATCATGTTTATATTTAGGCATATTATATAATAGCCTATATATACACATGATGATTGACAAAAGCAATGCGATATTTTAGTGTAGACACACCGAATTAAATCTGGAACGCGTAAACATTTTTTGAGACTTAAAAGTCAACAGTGTTCGAATTAAGAATTATGAGCAGAATTGTCTGATCACTGAATTCTATCCGTAATCTTATGAACCGCGAGTTCACTGTGTTTATTTTGTTCTCAGCCTGCAATTAAGCATAGCCGTAAGGTGGCTTTGGCGGGGTTTAGTCTATTATAATACAGAATACAGCGTTCGTATCATGGAGTTAAATCCTGCATGACCTCATCGACAACGGAAACGATATATAATTAGCATAAACTATGGAATTACCTAGCTGCAATGAGCTCGTAAAAATATTATATTCAAGATTTAACACACGTTGTTTGCATAATGGTGACATACGCGGGCAAGTCCGATGAATAATTAATTCAAATAGCTGTCAAAAATTGCGTAAGAAAAGATGAGTACAGGAATGTGGTAAAATATCAAAATACATATATTTCGTCCCCTATCATTTTGTTGGAACTACCGACTCCTTTTTAACGAGTCAAGAGCCAAAACACAAAAGCAATTTTAGGGTTATCCCTGATATGCTTTCATTTTGTGATCTGATCCGCCCACGCATTTTTTTTTTTGCATGAGCATATAGAATAAGACAAGTACGAATAGATTGAATTATGTTCAAAATGAGTACGCGTAGATGTAATGTACATATAGGATCCGTGGTAAAAACTAGGAGGCTATTATATATATTATTATGTGTATAATATATGTACAGTATACATTTATTATATATATTTTTAAATTTTAATTTCTTTATTCTGAGCACAAAAATAATATTCAATGATAACAACGCAATAAAGTGTCGAAAAGGCAAACTTATTTCCATTGTGGTCCAAATATTAAATACAGAATAAGAAACAATCAAATGAAAACTAACCAAACAATGAATCAAACATTAAATCAATACAATACAATACAATAAACTCAAAAGACGAACAAATGTAATTAATCATCAATTAATTTTTAAGCATTACTTAATTTTTATCACTTAATTATAAATTACTGATAGCACCACCCTGTCTAGAATTACGTTAAATGCCTTTACCAGCCACAACTTCTGAACGATTCATATTATAATTATTAATATTTCCCAGGGTTGTTTGACCTTCACCGCAGCAGGCTTATAGTGAAACTGTACAAACTCTGCAATGCAGTATAGTTTCATTCCATTCTGATTTGGATACAAGCTATCCAACAGTAAGCGAATATTGAATTAAACACGATTGGGAAACCAGCAGTTTGTATTACCCATGTCGGATCCAGAGGCGGCAAAAAGAACGCTCGTCCTCCCACCCATGCACCAGGCAAATCTGTAACCAAGTGTCAAAGTATTCAAGAAATTAAAAGTATTTCTGGCCGGGGCTATAGCACCCTGGTCAACCCTTTCGACCCCTCACATTTAGATACCTTTAGACAACCCATCCCAACTTCCTCGAACCAGAATTTCTCGATTGTAACTCGTGCCCATTGGCAAAATAATCCTTGATCCACCACCACTGGTTGTAAAAGATCTTCGTAGAAGCATACATTATTTGTTTTAAATCGTTACTTTAATAACTATTGCTAGGTCCGATTCGATGTCTGATCATGAAAAGTGTAGGCTGTGGTACCGAGACCTCTGACGATTAGTACCCAAAAATGATAACAAGAACGTAATGCAATAATGACATATTGACTACTATAATGTATATTTTCAGAAAATATTTCAGCCGCTCCATCTCTTTCCTATTCTTCTTTCATCTTTTATTCTTTCACAATTTTCGTTTATTCATTTTTACTCATCATTTTATACACTATACACATAGTCACTAGGTTTAGGCCTATGCTAGATTCGGCTATGCCTATTACTATATTATTTAAATATACAATTTTAACAGATTAATTTAACATGGACGTAGTAATTCATACTTTAACAATACATTAACTTTAAATATAAATAATATATATAATAACGTTAACGAATAAATAACAATAATTAAAACGTGGACATAGTGTCACTACTACAATAATAAGATTAATATTTTTCAATCTTATAATCAATTTTATATAGCCGGAATTAGTATTGACCTAGGCTACAATGGCTAACGACAGGTACGCTTTCTCCAATAAAAAGGCTTTTTCTATGAACGTAATGACCTGTACAAAACACGAGCTCCTGTAGACCAAACCAGTACAGTTACGATTTTAATCGTGCAGGAAATATACTCAAGAATTATACGACCGATTGCATCGATATTTCTGTAACATAATTAGAAGTTCCTATTACTAGTATTACTTTTATCGACCTTTACACGTAAAGCTGTAAGACTTATATCAGGACAGTTACAGTTATTAATTGCTTTATGTTAATGATATGAAATCCCTCTATCGATTGTACAACTGCGCCCGCTTATGATATGAATGAACGGGAATACAGAACAGTGTATTTACAGCAGACTTACAATACACTACAGTACAGACAAAAATACTAATTTCCTGAGGCCTGCCTTTGTATACCGGTACCTTATAAATTTAAACCAACATTTTGGTATGAAATTATATTAGCCAATTAAATATCATTATTATTATCAATAATATTAATATTATTATCAATATTATTATCATTACTATAAATGTTATTGTTATTATATTCCAGCGTGAAGTAATCTCAATTCATGTTGGTCAAGCCGGTGTCCAGATGGGCAATGCCTGCTGGGAGTTGTACTGCTTGGAGCACGGTATCCAACCTGACGGACAGATGCCAAGTGACAAGACCATCGGAGGTGGTGACGATTCCTTCAACACCTTTTTCAGTGAGACTGGTGCTGGTAAACACGTCCCCCGTGCTGTGTTCGTCGATCTTGAGCCAACTGTCGTTGATGAAGTTCGAACCGGTACATATCGTCAACTCTTCCACCCCGAGCAGCTCATCACTGGCAAAGAAGACGCCGCCAACAACTACGCCAGAGGCCACTACACTGTAGGCAAGGAACACATTGATATTGTACTGGACAGAGTTCGTAAATTGGCAGATCAGTGCACTGGTCTTCAGGGATTCCTGATATTTCACAGCTTCGGTGGTGGTACAGGATCTGGGTTCACATCCCTTCTGATGGAACGTCTGTCTGTTGATTATGGCAAGAAATCAAAGCTAGAATTTGCTGTCTACCCAGCACCACAGATTGCAACTGCTGTCGTCGAGCCATACAACTCTATCTTGACAACCCATACAACCCTCGAACACTCCGATTGCGCCTTTATGGTCGACAACGAAGCCATCTACGATATTTGCCGACGAAACCTTGACATAGAAAGACCAACATACACCAACTTGAACCGTCTCATCGGACAGATTGTGTCCTCCATCACTGCATCCCTTCGATTCGACGGTGCATTGAATGTGGACTTGACAGAGTTCCAGACCAACTTGGTACCCTATCCACGTATCCACTTTCCTCTCGCCACATATGCTCCCGTAATCTCAGCCGAAAAGGCTTACCACGAACAGCTGACCGTCTCAGAGATCACCAACTCTTGCTTCGAGCCAGCCAACCAGATGGTGAAATGTGATCCACGTCATGGCAAATACATGGCTTGTTGTCTGTTGTACCGTGGTGACGTCGTACCAAAGGATGTCAATGCAGCCATTGCTACCATCAAGACCAAGAGAACTATCCAGTTTGTTGACTGGTGTCCAACTGGTTTCAAGGTAGGCATCAACTACCAACCTCCAACGGTGGTACCAGGGGGTGACTTAGCCAAGGTACAACGTGCCGTGTGTATGTTGAGCAACACCACAGCCATCGCCGAGGCATGGGCTCGTCTTGACCACAAGTTTGATCTGATGTACGCCAAGCGTGCTTTCGTACATTGGTACGTTGGTGAAGGCATGGAGGAAGGAGAGTTCTCTGAGGCTCGTGAAGATTTGGCAGCTCTGGAGAAGGACTACGAAGAGGTTGGCGTTGATTCTGCGGATGACGCCGAAGAAGATGAAAATGAAGAATATTAAACTTCAGTTGCTATAATAGATAACCATAAACACAGTCATTTTACTCTTTCCCTGATTTCAATTTTTTATAGCCTATTTATATAACCTAGTGCATTTTTTTCGTTATTTAATGAATAAATATTATAATAATGTATTTTACTGACCCTGTTTTAAAACCCTGTATACCGTACAGTTCTTACATTTGTTTATGATACGCGCGGTTTAAAATTTGTTCTGAATAGTACAATGAATCATAAAAAATTCGAAAATTTTGATATCATGTTTATTAGGCAGAAAAGGTGTTTCTCCAAGCCTGACTGGCCAAAAATATCGATAAATTTAGCGCCATGTTATTTCATTTATTTTGTAAATACAATTCATAAATATACAGATACAAATCAGAAAATATGAAAAATACAACAGAAACAAGAAAAATTATACACCAACACGACAGGATTACCAAAAAAAAAAATTGAATAAGGTTCTACTGTCCGTTGGCTCGCCAAAAAAAAGGGGAAAAAAGTCTTTTTACCAGCCAATATCTATACATGAAACCCAGCTGTCAAAAATCCTGACCGACCTAACCTGACTTCAAATATTTATAGTGCTTTGGGCATCGCATTTTAGTCTTTAACCAATGAATTTTACGGGTATAAATAACGGGTTTTGTGGTTTCTTTGAATTATTGTATTTTTACGCGTGTTATGGTTATATTCAAATATAAGCACAATAATCGTGTAAATAGACTAGGACTCCATCTACAGGCTGTTGCCGTTTCAATAGCAGTTCAATCGCCGTTTCTATAACAATCGAAATAAATGCCTGTTAATCTGTAGCTGTTGTTTTTGCTTTGTTTCTTGTCTTCTTGTCTTACTCTCAAACGTACCGGTACCTGTAGACAAATTAACAATGTACCTGTGATGTTCCATTTTATAAGAGAAGGCTATAGTGGCGTCATAGATGTTTAAGAGGGGGTTCTCCTTCCAACTACTTTGTCGTCGGACGCCACTTCAGGTTGTCCGACTAAAGATATCAATTTGCTGATCCATGATTTCTGTGTTTGCAGTTGCTAAATATTGTGACCTTAAAGTGCAATTGTACCAGTATATACCCTAAAATCTGCGCACCGAAAATTTACCCTAAAACCATAACCAGGTCTAATGTATCCCCTTAATTGGTTCGAACCCAAGTCGTGGGGCCATCACTGTATATAGGCGTACGCGTACTTTAAGCTAAATACAATTGAATGTCAAAATAATGAAATAATAAACACCTAGCAAGAGCTTAGCAAGCACTCATCCAGACGACCTTACGATTACATCCCCCAGGAATGGGGTAGGTGTTGGCAGTAGGCAAGTGTCTACTGAATGAAGAATCATTTAATGTCAAATACAGTAGGCATAGCATAATGTAACGAGAACGAAAGGGAAATACTGTCACACTCAGGAGGCAGGCAGGCACGCGCAATTAACTCACACGCACACACACATCCATATATACTTGCAATATTATTATATTGAACCAGGTCTTTATTTATTGGTACTTCCCAAACCTCCACCCGCCATCTCATGGAAAAAAACAACCGGGATCCGCCCCTGATCATCAGAATAAAGCAACGGTTTGTAAAAAAAGATGAAAAAACAAAAGGCAATGCGTATTTTAGACATAAATAAAAATGCATTCAGATTTGTTGTTAATATGGAGGTCTAAACGTTTTGACCTTTGAGCTAAGCACAAATTATGCACTTTTTCCAATAAGCATATTAACCCCGATATTAACATAATGAGCATAGTACACTGGCTAATTATTACCATTCATTGTTTTATTTCATTGTTAATAATGCTTCAATTTTATTATTAATATCATAAGGATACTTTGACGTATTGGCATTCTGCGTAGGCCTATCCTTTTTTCAGCATCATCGCATAAGATTTTGGAAAATATATGTTAAGACAATACGCAAATATTCTGAGTTTAGGTAATATCAAAACCCCACCCTTTAATAATTTCATCCACGATCATTATGCAGCGTTCACGCTCTCGTGTGAATCGAGATGATTAAGAATTACCATAGTAACGGAATGACCCATTCATGAACGAGGGTGTGTTGTATAAAAGTAGGAGCACAATGTAGCAGACGAGTAAATCTTCATCGTCCAACCATTGGAACGGATCAGTGAAGAATATCTCGGTCAAGTCCAGGGTAGACCTTCCGATTCACTCATCTTGATATCACCAAGAGGCCTAGCCAACTATGGTAAGTACAGGGTTTATCCATACCTACTAAAAGATATTTCCAATCGATCCTTCATCAATTTAAGTATCTGCAGATGGGAAAGTCTATCCGATCTTTTATTATCCAATATTGCAAGTAATACACCGGTCCGTGTGTAGGATAATTGTGTAAACATCTGAAGCTTTTAATATAACTTGCAGAGATTTTTTTTACCATTGTTGATACAAATATACTGCATAGAACTATTTCAAAGTCAATGGTGTTAAATAAAACGTTTAGTGTTAAAATGTCTACTTTTACCATAACCGGACACGCCTACATAAATTATTCTTCTATGCAGAGAGTGTGTAAATCTATATAGTCTTCACCACTTCTTAATTGAGAAAAAAACTTCGATTTATTTTATTATAATCCAAAAAAATGAACCGCACCCTGAATAATTTTGGTGATTTAAATGTTCATTATTTTAATAGATTCGAAGTAGATCCTCTCCTCCTGCATTATATCAACTGAATGTTATAAACAGGAAGATGATGGTAGCATTAAAATTCTAGGCCTTAATAAACCAAACCATTCGCTCGTCGTACGTGTTATTAACTCGTGCGCCTCCATAGCCTAATGCTTATTATCAGCATTGCACTACAGTATTTGGCATACATTCGACTATCGATATTATGCCTATAACTATATGCTATCAACGTATATCACAAGCATAGGGTATACCGGTATATGTCTATAATGCACAAAATGTTACAGGATAAACTTAATGCACGTCCACAAGTATCGGATGTGTAGCAGATGTAAAGACCTTAAAATACTATAATTGCTTTGCGCAAAATCGAAATACTGTATCATGGTTATTAATGGTGCCTTATGCATGTTAATGATGATGAGTGTAAAGCTAGTAAAAGCTGACTCACCAGTAAGCGATGCATTTGTCAAGCTTCGCATCTGAAAGATAAACCGGAGAGTGAAAACATCTGCGGTAAATTATTCTGTCGATTGCGAGAAATGATTTCTTTTATGATATGCGTGTGAATACTATTTGTTTTTGTCAATAGAATACTACACAGAAACACAAGTAGACAAAATTAATCGAACGAATGCCTTTAATTGTAAATGAGCTATTGTAGCTTAAGGGTGACAAAACATGCCATTGTAACGCTACAAAAAAATGTGATCTTAAATTGCTTGACTTCCAATTTAAAGGATTATGCAAGCAACAAAAACAGTATAATTAGATAACCGACGAGTAACAAATTCATTTTAATGATTCTAAATTAAGGAAAGTTAATAACTGAATATACAAAGAAGATAACGAAGATTGAATTGAGTTTTGTTCGCTCAACACATACGGCTCATACTCTATAGGCCTATACGAATATGTAAACATAATACTGTACAATATAGACATAAACTCTGAACAGTCTTGCGGTAAGGCTTGGCTTAATTGTATATACCGTATAAATTGAACATTAAAGGAGAGGAAACTAAGAGTGTGAAAGAAAAAGTTGCCCAACCGGGATATATTATACATCCGCATCAGTACTCCCAGTAGGCCTAATTATCGTAATTCAGGTAAATTGACTATATATATATATATAT